TACATCCTGTCAGAAGAGATTACCAATGATACAGACACCATAAATTACAAAGAAAATTACTTTACAGCACTTAAAAGATTAGTCTTGGTCAGATTCCTCTCATTATATGCAAGATTTATGTTGGGATTCGAAACATAAGCTCTTCAATGTATTGACACACCAACTATGAGAATGTCATAGCTTCCCCTGTATTATTGAGATTAATGTATTTAGTCTGTTTTACAACCAACATATGGGTTTTATTGTTGTCACTTGTACACTGAGTTTTAAACCATTTGCAAAATATCAGAATAAACTTTATATATATATATATTATATATATATATCAGTTAAGACTGTTTTAATTCTAAAGCAACAACAACAACAGAAGTGTAGGTCTTACTACAAAGTAAAGATAATAAGAAGGAAAAATATAAAATTCTTATGTGGTACTGGTAATAGTAGTATTACGTACAAATCACACAAGCTCATCATTCTAAATACTGAATCATATTATTATTATGAACTAAATATAAAATTAAGCTAAATTATTGAACTTAAAACTACTAATTTAAATGTAAAAGAATATAAAAAAACACAAACTCTTTCAGTTCAAAATGCTAAGCCTAATTCATGTAAAGACCTTGCACTTGCCACTCGATAGCTCTTAACCCTAACAATCGTAGACCAACTTCTTTCCTAAAAAATGTATATCTATTTTGAGTTAATTTTTCAATATAATGATTAATATAAATAGATATACAATACAGCATGACTTAAGCTACTATAGAAAAATAATAAAAGTCACATACATCCCATGCAGTTTTTCCAGAAGCAAGTTTTCTAAGGCTTATAAAAAAGTACTGTTGACCAATACTAAATACAACATTTACATAAAATGGCAGTTACTATAATAAGCACCACCCACATCCATATTGTAAAATACAGAGAACAATGTTTCATCGCGTGCTTTGCTTATCATCCTATGATTTGTGAAAAGTGAAATAGAGCGATAGGAATAACATGGTACTGAAATCAACATCTTCAACTAGGATTGGTTCAAAGTTTTACAACTGAGGTTTAACACCCCCCAGATGCTGTTTTATAGAGAAAACAGTCTAGAAAAAGGTTTAGATACCAATCATAGATGGCAGGACCAGCATTGAAGTGCAAGGACAATTTTTTTTTTTAAATTTTGAAAAAAAAATATTCTTCTCAGAGGGCACTTATTTGTAGTTTCAAACATACTTTGGGATTTTTTATTACATTTCTCTTCAGACTTCATTAAATAATACAATTTTATACAAATAATTGAATGTTATGCTACTATTTACAAAATAAAATCTGAAATCCAATAAAAGAAAAGTTCTTTATAATTTTTTCAATTCACTAATGTGATTTTGCCCTCACGACAATACTTTTCAAAATGGCAACGGCAGGTAACAAGTTAATGGTGAAACTAAGAATAACATTTTTGAAAAAAACAAATTAATTGTGAAAACATCTATTGACTTATGGTGTTATGCTGTTGTTGATAATAGTTGTGTACATAGTCATATATGCTTTAGGTTTTTCAATAAACAGTAATTCACATTATAGAAAGACATCTGAGTATTAATGCAAATGTTTTTGAGTTTATTGGAAGAAATGGGTGTGAGTTTTAAGCATAAATACCTACATAAGGAAAAATAGAATAAAAACAATTCAAATAAACTGTACCAAAATAAACACTTAAGCTTTTTATATGTACATATAATCAATATTAAAAGGTCTGTTTATGATATGCATGTATGTCAATTTAAATCTGGTTTATTTTAGATTTAGCAACATAACAGAGGTTAAGCAAATTAAATTTGAAGGATGAAAAAATTATTCTTAATCTTAAAATGAAATCATAATCATCTAGTCCAGCATTTTCCAAATTGTGTTCTGCAGACCCCTGGGGTTCCATATGATATATCCAGAGGTTGCCCAAGAAAATTTTGTGTGGTGTAGTCGGAGTAAAGGAGCAGGCCAAGTATAGGTATGGCTTAAAAGCTTGTAAGCCCATAAATCATACCACCCTATATTCCCTTTGCCATTGGCTATTTCATTTATATGTGGAGCCTAACTGATGACTCACTGTAAGATAATCACTAGTGATAGTCGAATGCAATGTTATAAGGAAACAAGCTAGACTGAATGCTGCACCTGATATGAGAACCCAGCTCTCCAACAAAACTCCCAATATTAAATGGATTTGCAATCAAAAGAAGCAACAGCACTCTTTCCATTAAAAAACAAGCATAAATTTTAAACTTCTTTCAGACTTTGTTTACATGTTATGAAGTTGAGACTTAAGTGCTTTCTTGAATAAAAAACTGTTTAACTATAATTAATTTGAATGAATCTAAGTTTTAAATGGACAGAAACTGCCTGTTGTAGAAAACTACAAATTTGGAGGACAACATTTCAAGTCTTCCGCCTTTTGTGTTCAGACCTGAAGATGAAAGGCGGAAGACTTTCGAAACGCCATCCTCTACATTTGTAGTTTTCTATAACAGACAGTTGCTGTCCATTTCAAACTTAGATTCATTATGAATACTCTGCCTAAACAACCTATCAAAGATTATAATTAATTTATAAAAATAAAAAATAGAAATTAATTTTCTATAAATGTATTTGTGCATGTAGTAACCTATTGTACCAATATAATAAAATTTTATGACTTTACTTTTTAACAAAAGAATGTTTCTTAAGGTTTCTGTCAATAGCTTTAAAGCTCAAAAGTGTTCCATGGCCAAAAAAGTTTGGGAAATGCTGATCTAGTCAGTCTAAGACAGTCTCTGGCTTACGTAAATTTACAGACAAAGGTTTTGTGTACAAAATATTTGAAATGTTTACTAGAAGCTTTTAGATACGCTTTCTACATTAAAAGTTATCTGTACACTTTCATGTTTAGGTAGATCATTTTGAGTGACCCGATAGCAGTAGGATTAATATACAATATCCTAAATTAGAATTCAAAAATGCAAGTCTGTTTTACCTTTTGGAATGATTCCAGGATCCATAAAGGTTGCCAATGAAAAATTTGTCAGAACAAAAAAAGTGACGACACCCTGAACAATGGGGATAGCAACATGGTAATGAAATGTCAAATATGGACACCTTTAAAAAAAGAAGAGAAAAAAAAAAGCTTTTAATTCTCTTTTCGCACTAAAACTTTTCAAAATATATTTTCTATGAACATAACAGAAATAACTGAAAACAATTATTTAATGCTTAACTCTCTCACTACGTGCTCGGTCACAGGGACCAACCTCGTGACTATTTTGTGCTTGTTAGTTTTCAAATTAGAACTTTTAATACAGAAAGCATATCTTCACAAAATTTTGCAGATTATCAGTAAACATTATAAGGCTTTAGTTAGTACCCAAAATATCAGAATTTTTTATTAAGTTTTAAGATTATTTTAAGTAATGATTTGCTCTTGCAATTTTTCTTTTTTGAATGCTAACTATCCAACATGCAAAATAATTTTGATTTTAAGATTAAAAATACTTTTATGCATCAAAAAATTGTCAAATTTCACATACAAAATCTTTATAACCTACTAATAACCTCCAGATAATTATCAAACCTTTTTTTTCAAGAAAACTTTATATTTTATCTGTTATTTTCACTATTGTATCTCTGTACAGGTTTGGTTGATTTAACCGACCTAGTAACCAACATAAAAAAAATTAGGAAATAGATATAAATTACGCCTGTTTTGTTCTATAATGACTACAAATTATAACAAGAAACCACAAATGTTTAGTCTAAATAGCTTAAATCTCATAAAATTATACATTATATTTATATATATTTTTTTGTATTTCATTGATCTATTAACCATGTCTAACTAACATTACAGAAGTTGCAATGATGCAGAACATGTGCAGTCATGTTACAATATCCAATAGTATAAAACTGGCCTTTAGAAAGTGACCTGTCTATGGTTTGTTCTAGTGAGCCAGTATTTTGCGAAATACAGTCACATTTGGATTAGAATACGTTACATAGGCATATATATTATTACTATTTACAAACAAGTTCTTAAATTTCAGTTGTTTTTCTTAAAACATATAACAGTAAATAAAGAAATATAGAAAACAATGATTTTTTCTACTTACAAACTTTGTACTTGTTTGTCTGCTTGAAGTAATATGCTAAGCCTTGTCAAATATTGCACATGGAGGATGTAAAACAAATTTTTTTTAGGTTTTATATATTCATTTTTAAATAACCAAATGTTATAAGTTACTCTATCAGTATTTCAGAATTCTACTGTAATTTATCAAGCTTACTAACTAAACTGTATTTAAGTAAAAAAAATATTGTTTTTCAGACAACATTTTCACTTACCATATCCTTGGGCGATTCAAGACAAGGAAATAATCTAGGAAACTTTCTACTTCTAGAGACTAAGAAAACCACCACGGAGACATTCTGAGTTTACAATTGTTTATTCACACATCATAAACAGAAGTAGGAGTATGTAAGCATTTCCAAAAAATTGGAAAGAGTACCTGCTACTTGCACTGTGTTTGAATCACTATATATAGCAATATCTCAGCAAATAGAAAAGATAGGAGGTTCTGATTTTATATTCTAGCTTGTCAATATCAGTAATTTGAGTTTCTAATTCATTACCTTTTTTACCTAAAAATAAAACCATGCTCCTGTACCTGTTGTCATGAACCAGGTTCATGTTAGATTGTGTTATTTAAAGAACTGAGTCTTCTGCCATACATGCAAATTTTTTTAAACAATTTAGAGCATTGTAAGCCTTATTTTCTATATACAATGTTTATCCAGCTATGTTTGCATTGCTCAGCTGAGCTGAGTATAAAAATTTGGGTACAGGTGTTCTTTACATATGCACTATATATTTATTACGCCATATTGATGCAGTAAGTATCCAATAACAAGAAAACTTTGCCTGTATGTGGACAGATCTCCTCCTAAATGAGTTGACCATTCCTGACCCTGCTAATTTACCTGTCCAAAAGCAAGCCAAATTCATATAAAACTTTCCAATATATTAAAAATAGAAATATTTTGTAGAATAACCCTATATTGTTACTGCAGTAAGTATTGTAAATAGTTGAGTTTAAACAAAACTCAAACAAGAAAATTCTACACATAAAAGAATGTAAATAAAATTTTCAATATTTTAACTTGTTTCCCATAATAACGAAAATATACAGTAATAAAATATCCAGCTACAGTGCAAAGAATAAAGATATTGCTGCTCCTTAATTTTCTCGCTTTTATGATTCACACCATTTAACTTCCAGTTTATATTTGGGTTAGAATTAGCACTGAAGCCTGAATTAGAGAAGTATTTCATAATTAAAATATTGTTTAAGATATTTCTTACTTCTTGATGTAGAATATAGTTTTCTGTAGATGCAAAATTCAAGACTATTATTAAATTCAATGCATTAAATGTACCAAATTCACATAGTAGAAATCTTGACCACATCTCTACTGTGAATTGTTTGTTTGTTTTTAATTATGCACAAAGCTACACAAGGGCTATCTGTGCTCTGCCCATCATGGGTATCGAAACCCGGTTTCTAGCGTTGTAAGTCCGCAGACATACCGCTGTGCCACTGGTGGGCATAAGTTTAAGGAAACGTTTTTAACAGAGCCACCACTCTACTGTGAAATGGGCTGCTTTGAACAAGAAGTGATGCAACTGCTTTGCCATTTCTGCCAAGTTTCTTGACTCAGCTTCTTCACCTCCTCACTTCCCATCTAACAAAAATTTTGTTTGGAGAATGAATGCTACTGAAAACCCTTGCAGAGATTTGGATCATTTTTAGCCAATATGTGCATGTTTTCAAGAGGAAAAAAATGGAGAAGAGAAGTCTCCTTAAAATAAACTGCAAAACCTTTATGTAAGACATTTAAAGTGCACTACAAGAGCTTCGAAAAAAGGAGGCCCATTTTCACTTGTAGACTTTCACCAAGACTGTCAAGCTTTCACCAAGGGCAGAGCTTGGTATACAATTTACCTCAAAAAATTAGTCCAACTGTACATCTACTTAATTTTTTATGGAACACAGAAATGAAGACACAAACTAGTATGATGATGAATATTTTTACAATATACCCAGAACAAGAGGGACAAGCATTTTGTTCCTTTTTTCATGTAAGTAAATAAGAGAATATACCTGATTACAGTGTGTCCAAGTTGTAATATCAGTTCATACTTTTATGACTATAATCAACATACAGTAAAATCAACATGATACAAGACACTAAAATAGTGTCATATCTGTAATTCATCACATTTACTTACACAAACGTTTAAACAGGCCACTTCTTGATACCAGTAGAAAAAAACCATCCAAGTATTAAAAAACCTGAATAAATAGGCAGACAAATTGGTATTAATGTTGTATAAGAAAACAGCAAAAGGTAGAATAATTTAATCATCATTCTGCAGTATACACAGTGAATGTGTAAAAGAGAATATATCAGACTTTAGCCTTAACTTCTGAAGCCACTAGTGAAGGATTATTAGTGCTTTTGTTTACCCAATAACAAATTCGGACTGCTACAAGCATTATTATTCTCTAAAGTTAATAATAAATGTGCCATAATTAATCATTTCATGTATTAAATGCTAATATACATTGCTGTAGGCTATATTTTTAATATTTTAATTTAGACAGTTTGTATTGTTGATACCCAAGAATATCTTTAGTGTCTAGATATGACGTGACATCTCAAATTTTCTTTACTTGAACAAAAAAAAAATCATAATTCGAAAACACCAGTTAGTTAATCAGCAAGTCTGTTACAGTGTCATCAAATCATTACTGAGTTAGTGAGTGCTGTACATTTTTGCTGAGTATGTGGTATACTTATGAAAGCAAATTTAACAAGTGAATTTAAATTCTCTTTGAAAGTTCAACCTGTTAATTAGTTATCATTAATTCATGAAACCACGCAAATTGAAAAACTTTAAATTGAAGAAATAGTGCTGTAATTTCATTAACCGAATTGGACTTTAAATTTTTTATCTACTTGTTAAAAGGAATCCATTGATTAAAATTAACTATTACATCATCAAAATATCTTGTATTACTAATGAAAGTTCTGTACCATTTTGATGCTTATCCAAAGGTGGTTTTTCTAGAGAATCTCCTTTACTTTAAACAATGTTTCATTTTTTGCATTTGCAATGATCTTGAACATGATATGAGACACCACCACATTACAATCAGCTAATGAATGTTGAACAATTCTTGAACTGTTTTAGATCTTGGATTACTGTGTTCTTGTATACATTCCCCCCGGTATTATATAACCAATATAAGCTCCTTCACATGTTGGGCAATGGAACTCATAAATCATCCAGGACAATAATTGGGGGGTGGGATCTTATACTTCATTGCCTAAAATGTTTGAATCTGATTAGATATTTAACCATATTTTAGCTCAACTTGTGGACAAACTCTTCATCTAATAGCATTCAATTTCTTTATTTGACTGGAATGAACATCAATTTATAGTATTTATAAACACTGGCAGTTTGGGACATCAAAACTGCAGTGAATGAAGACACTACTTAGAACATTAGACACTTTTGGTTTAGCACAAGAAGAAAGCTTTGAATAACTATTACAATTCTACAGAACTTTTTTTTATTAGTAATTTATTAATTTGGAAGTGCAGAAAATTTATAACACCAAAATCAATGATAGAAAAGAATATCAGTGAAAGAATAGAATACATGGAAAATGAATTAGCCATGAAATATGGAACAGGAGAACCTATTTGGTGCAAGACTGATACAACTACTGCTGTGCCACCTATGACTGAAGGACCTTCCCAAACTACCCCAGATATATCAATTTACAGAATTTAACAGGCTGGTTTCAAGATCATCAACTAATCAGGCATATCATGTTCAGTCGATTAGATGAAATAGTGAACAAAAACTAATCATTTTGCTATACATTTAAAACAACCAGCAAATTAAGCAGTCTTGCAGTTGAGAGCTGTAACAACTATCAATCATTGGTGGCAGTCTCATTAAACAGGTTTGGGGTGACACATCAGTCTCCAAAGGAAAGTTTCAGAGCAGAATAATAAAGAAGGATAAGACT